GGAATCTGGTTTCACCGGAGTCTGCGTGAGAGACAACACAGTTAAGGACTGTTGACGGGGTTTTGGTTTCCAATGGTGCTCTGATAGTACCTTGAGGGTTCTTGAGGTTCTCCTTGGGAGAGTCACTGTTGGTTCTGGAGAAGGATGTGTTAGCAGAGTCCGTTAGCTGCTTCAGCGTCTCACGTCTTATTAGAACAGACCTTGGCTTGGGTTTCCTAGCTCTTGCCCAGAGCTGCTTGGAGGTTGACTGAGAATCTTCAGGGTTTGGCTCGGAGGGTCGGCTCGGCAGGTTAGCTCTTCCAGAGCTTTCACGGAGGAAGCACGAGTCACCTAGAGGCACAGAGACAAACGTTAGAATCTGACTCGGAATTAAGGACATGGAAAAATCACTGAGATCAAGGCTTTAGCGCTGACCAACTGGAACAACACTGCGGCGTTGAGGTAAGGTCTGAAGGCAGCTTAAGTAGTGGATCCTCTGATGGTCTTGATGAGCTGCACCTGTGCAGGAGGCTCCCTCAGAGGATCCACGGCGGACTCTGCTGGAGAAAAATGGTATTTTCTCCAGCTCCCAACAGTACCCCCCCCTCAACGACCGCCCCTTGGCGGTCCGGAGGAAGTGGAAGGACGGGAACGCTCGTACTCCTCGATCAGGGCAGGATCGAGGATGTACGAGCCTCGGACCCACTGACGATCTTCTGGTCCGTAGCCCTCCCAGTCGACGAGGTACTGCCAACCGCGACCTCGTCGACGGGAGTCTACAATACGGCGGACCGTGAAGGCTGGATGGCCATCGACTTCCAGGGCGGGTGGTGGGGAGTCGGATGGCGGGCACAAGGGGCTCGAGGAAACAGGCTTGATCTGGGAGACATGGAAGGTCGGATGGATTCGGAGGGAAGGAGGAAGTTGGAGACGGACAGCTGACGGGTTGATGACACGGGAGATTTTGAATGGGCCTATGAATCTCGGGGAAAGTTTTCGAGACATCCCCTTGAGGGGGATGTCTCGAGTGGAAAGCCACACTTCCTGGCCCACAGAATACTCAGGGGCGGGGCGTCTCTTGGCGTCAGCGAAACGCTTGGTTGATTCAGCTGACTGGTTGAGTGTGGCAATGGTCTCCCTCCAAATCCTTCGACAGCGACGGATGTGATGATTAACGGACAGCACCGATATCTCTCTCTCATCTGCGGGGAAAAGAGGTGGTTGATATCCAAGACTGACCTGGAAGGGCGACTGTCCAGTGGATGCAGAACGGAGAGAGTTGTGGGCATACTCTATCCAGGGAAGGTATAGGCTCCAATCCACCGGGTTATTGGACGTTAGACAGCGGAGAGTGGATTCCAGATGCTGGTTCATACGCTCGGTCTGGCCATTCGTTTGGGGATGGTAACCTGAGGTGAGAGATGGTTTGCAGCCGAGCGCAGAACAAAAAGCCTTCCATACCTGGGATATGAATTGGGGACCTCTGTCCGATAGGATTTCCTGGGGGATGCCATGAAGCCGGAACACATGTTTGATAAGAAGCTGGGCTGTCTGGAAGGCCGTGGGAAGTTTTCTCAGGGGGACTAGATGGCAAGACTTAGAGAAACGGTCGACAATGGTTAGTATGGTGGACATACCTCGGGAGACAGGGAGACCGGTGACGAAATCAATGGCTATGTGGGACCATGGACGCGAGGGAACAGGTAGAGGTTGAAGGAGACCAGAAGGAGGTTGATGCGAAGCCTTGTTACGAGCACATGTGGGACAGGCCAACACATACTCTCTAACATCACGATGGAGCGTGGGCCACCAGAAGCGCCTGGAGATTAGAGCGACAGTCCTACTCACTCCTGGATGGGCGGAGAATTTTGCGGCGTGCATCCACTGGATCAGACGGGACCTGACAGAAGAAGGAACATATGTGCGGTTAGACGGACCGGTACCTGGATCTGGTTCGGTGGCTAGGGCTGAGTTGATTAGGTCCGTTATTTCCCAGTTGACCACTCCAACGGTGCATGAGGCTGGGAGGACAGGTTCAGGTGTCTCTGGATGATCGGCAGAGTAGAGACGAGAGAGAGAATCGGGCTTCACGTTCTTGGATCCGGGTCTGTAGGTGATAATGAGGTTGAATCTGGAGAAAAAGATGGACCACCTGGATTGGCGAGGGTTAGCTTGTTTGATTGACTGGATATGAGCCAGATTTTTGTGATCAGTCCACACAAGGACCGGATGCTCAGCTCCTTCCAGCCAATGCCTCCATTCCTCCAACGCCAGTTTGATTGCCAGGAGCTCACGATCACCCACATCGTAATTTTGTTCAGCAGAGGAGAGCTTACGGGAAAAATAGGCACAAGGGTGTATTCTTTGATCTGAGTCGTCTTTTTGGGAGAGAACAGCTCCAACACCGGAATCTAAAGCGTCCACCTCAAGGATGAATTGTCTCGAAGGATCAGGTTGAATTAGCACGGGTGCTCTGGAAAACATGGATTTCAATTTCTCGAATGCAGCTTGGGCCTCGGGAGTCCACTGAAAAACTCGTTTGGAAGAAGTTAGTGAGGTTAATGGCAGGGCGGTTTGGCTATAGTTCCTGATGAAGCGGCGATAGAAGTTAGCAAACCCTAAAAACCTCTGTAATTGCTTTCGATTCTCAGGTACTGGCCAATCTAGGACTGCCTTGATCTTGTCCTCAGAAGGTTTTACCTGGCCGCCCTCGAGCACAAACCCCAGAAAGGTGACTGAAGACTGATGAAATTCACATTTCTCGGCTTTCACGAACAGCTTATTCTCCAGTAGTCTCTGTAGAACGAGACGGACGTGTCTCTTGTGTTCATGGAGATCCTTGGAATAAATGAGAATGTCATCAATGTAAACAAACACAAATACGTTGAGGAAATCTCTGAGAACATCATTCACAAGGGCTTGGAAACAGGCTGGGGCGTTAGTCAAACCAAAGGGCATCACCAGGTACTCAAACTGGCCCAAGGGTGTCTTAAAGGCTGTCTTCCATTCATCACCCTCTCAAATTCTGAGGAGGTGATAAGCATTTCTTAAATCCAGCTTAGTAAAGACAGTTGCACCCTGCACTGGTTCAAAAGCTGAGGCGAGAAGAGGCAGTGGGTATTTGTTTTTAATAGTTATTTGGTTCAAACCTCGATAGTCAATGCATGGCCTCAGAGAACCATCCTTCTTGCCCACGAAGAAAAAACCGGCGCCCAGAGGAGAGGATGAAGGACGGATTATTCCAGCAGCCAATGATTCGTTGATGTATTTCTCCATAGTTTCTCTTTCTGGTTTGGAAATATTATACAGTCTGCTGCTTGGAAGAGGAGCACCGGGTAAAAGTTCTATGGCACAATCGTAGGGTCTATGTGGAGGTAGGGACGTCGCACTGACCTTACTGAAAACGGGGGCTAGGTCGTGATACTCAGAGGGAACAGAAGAAAGGTCAGGAGAGTCCATCTCCCCCCCACCTCTAGGAGGCCCCGCCATCGGGGCAGCAGAACGAAGGCATGTTTCGTGGCACGTAGTAGACCAAGATTCCAGGAGACGTTTGGTCCAATTTATGTGAGGGTTATGCTTCTCCAACCACTCGAATCCGAGGACCAGGGGGGAACATGCAGAAGGAAACACAAAAAAGGTGATAGTTTCTCGGTGGTTACCTGACAGAAGTAGCTCGAGGGGCTGGGTTTGGTGGGTAACACGATGGAGTCTCTTTCCGTCTATGGCAGACACACTGAGAGGCTGAGACAGGGGAATGGTTTCAATCTGAAGCTGCTGGACGAGCTCAGAGTCGATTAGATTGCGCTCACAGCCTGAGTCAATGAAGGCGGAGAAAGAGAGACTCTGGTTGTTACAGAACAAAGTTGCTGGCAGCAAAAGTCGAGGAGATTTACTTGAATTTATATGGCCCGCCAGACTCCTCATATCCTCTGGCGGGCCCCGGCTTTTGATTTTGCCGGGCAGGAGGCGATAAAGTGACCACTCTCACCACAGTATATGCAAAGTTTTCCAAGAAAACGCCTCTGTCTCTCCTCAGGAGAAAGCCTAGTGTGTCCCACCTGCATAGGCTCATTATCCCTTTCGCCTGAATGAGAGGCCTGAACAGGCAACGATAGAGTCTGTGGCTTAGAACTCTGTGTGGACATCTGCTCTGTAGAGGGAGAGAGAACAGCCATGTTATGAGTGGCAGAGGAAAAATTACTTTGCTTCTTGGAGCTGTTTCTGGCTCGGATTCTGTTATCTAATCTGATGGCGAGACGAATAAAATCGTCAAGGGAAGCTGGTTCATCGAGGGTTGCAAGTTCATCCTTGATTTGTTCATTTAGAGCCATGAAAAAAGCCCCCTTTAGAGCGCTCTGGTTCCATCCGGAAGCTGCCGCTTTAACCCGGAAGTTAATTGAAAAATCAGCCACAGAAGAATTACCTTGTTTAAGGTTGAAAAGAGCTCTGGAATCGATCGTTTGGTCCGTCTCCTGGTTAAATACCTGGGAAAATTCAGCAATGAAGTCAGAAAAACGGCAATTTACACCGTCGTCGATGGCAAATCTAGCCTGAGCCCAATCTAAAGCTCTTCCTGTTAACTGAGAGAGAATGAACGATATCTTCTTGTGGTCAAAAGAAAAACAACTAGGAGAGTTCAGAAAAATCAGCCGGCACTGGAATCAAAAACCCTTACAATCTTTCATGTTACCAGAGAATTTTTCTGGGAGACTAGGACGGAACTCTGATGACGTCACAGGTTGTGACCTCGGGGGAGGAACTGGACCCGGAAATGGTTGCTGTGCAGAAGTAGCGTTAGCTCCATTCAGAAAGTTAGAGAACTCTGTAGCATTTGATTATGTGAACCAACAAGATGGTATAACTCACGAAGCGTTTGGGTTTGACCTTGGAGAAGAGCTTCCTGCTCGTCCAAACGACGGGTGAGGTGATCTGCTGGGCCTTGAGTTTGGCCGCAGTGTTCTGTCATGATCGTTTCTCTAATGGAGACCCAAAGATGCAGAACACCACTGACGGACACAGGATGAAAAGTTTAACAAGTTTATTGGCACAAGCACATAATATGCAGATGACTGGTTTGGGCCTGGAATCTGGTTTCACCGGAGTCTGCGTGAGAGACAACACAGTTAAGGACTGTTGACGGGGTTTTGGTTTCCAATGGTGCTCTGATAGTACCTTGAGGGTTCTTGAGGTTCTCCTTGGGAGAGTCACTGTTGGTTCTGGAGAAGGATGTGTTAGCAGAGTCCGTTAGCTGCTTCAGCGTCTCACGTCTTATTAGAACAGACCTTGGCTTGGGTTTCCTAGCTCTTGCCCAGAGCTGCTTGGAGGTTGACTGAGAATCTTCAGGGTTTGGCTCGGAGGGTCGGCTCGGCAGGTTAGCTCTTCCAGAGCTTTCACGGAGGAAGCACGAGTCACCTAGAGGCACAGAGACAAACGTTAGAATCTGACTCGGAATTAAGGACATGGAAAAATCACTGAGATCAAGGCTTTAGCGCTGACCAACTGGAACAACACTGCGGCGTTGAGGTAAGGTCTGAAGGCAGCTTAAGTAGTGGATCCTCTGATGGTCTTGATGAGCTGCACCTGTGCAGGAGGCTCCCTCAGAGGATCCACGGCGGACTCTGCTGGAGAAAAATGGTATTTTCTCCAGCTCCCAACATCCTAAGCAATATCATGTCAAAATTGTCTTTTTATAATTCACAAAGAAAGATGATTATGATTCCTTTTTGATCCACCAGCCCTTTCAATTTAATGTAGGGTTAAAAAAATTATTCAGAGTAATTATGTTTAATCCGTTATTGAAATAATAGTAAAATAATTTAATAATCGATTAACTGTTGACTGGAGTATAGACACTCTAAAGCATGTCTTTAGCTGACAGAGCAACCCCCTCAGTGCAGTAATTATACCAAAACTGTAAAAAAAATCTATAAACATTTTGCATTTAAAATAAAAAGAAAAAACCTTAGTCCGTCAATGTGCTCTATCAAAAACTCCTTAAAGTAACATTTTTAGTTCCCCTGATTTAAACTCTGCAAACTTCTTTTTTAAGCACATTTTGTTATTTTATATTATAAATCAATTAATCAAAAAAATTATTGACAGATTAACTGATTAGCAAAATGGCTGTTAGTTGCAACCCTAATTGACTGTATTCCCTGTTCCATCTGCTGAGTTTTGCAGACATTGAATTTTATCATTCCAGTTTTGCCGTAAAAACAGCATGAGTGACCATATGGGCTAGAAACATTTCATCCAGCATTTTATCAAACAAGCAGGCAAGTTTTATATGATGGCTGGAAACCGGTTGGACCAGGAAATAAAGAAACTCCTTTCTGTCCATGCAAGAGAAACAGTACGGCAGTCATTCATTGCCAGTTAATTAGGCCATTTTGAGGAGCAAGGGCTAACTGAAGACCAAATTTTAAGCAGACAATGGAATTTAAACCAAAGATAAGATTCCTGTGTCACTCTGTAGACATGAAGTGGAAGCCTTAAATGTGAATAAAATAGACAAAAAAAGAGTTGAGACTATATTTGCTAAAGATAAACTTTTTAACACCCTATGTTTTTTTAAATAGGGGTTTGACTATTTACGATGATCAGGTTTAACAAAATTAATTTACACACTTTGTTGATACATGACTAATTTCAAATCACTGAATTGATTCCTAGAACTAGATTAGTCAGTGACTTTGTGGTCAAAAATCAATACATTGTAAGTACTGAGAAAAAACACAAAATAATACAAATAACTGTGATAAATTTGAATATTTTAATGTAAAACAATGGTATCTGCTGGGGGAGGAGATATGGAGCAAAGATAATAACGCACATTTTGTGGTTTATGATTAATTTATTTGTATTAGATTCTAAACCTTTCTGTCTAGGCTGAGATCACACTATCCAGGCCTTCAACTTAATGAGAAACACATGACTACATCACATACTATATTGCTGAGCGTGTAACCATTAAAGATAGAGCGAACTATTATGTTTGGTGTTGCTGAAATGGCACAGTTCACTGCCAACAAATACCAGATGGTAAACGTCAGTGATACAAGACTCTTTTCAGGTATCAGCTGACTGAACATGCTGGCAAAGCATAAATCTAACTAATTTAGTATTTACAGACAATCTGTGTCATGCTATGGCTGACTGTCTGTGTGTCTGCTGCTGCTCTCAATAATCAGGATCCTTGGCTGCACCTACTGTACACTCCACTGCAAACAGCTCAATAAAACCCATCATCTACACCTATTAATATTAAGATATTTTTGAAGGCCTTTACCCCTGTCCCAATACTTGAGATTCCCCCCTTTTGTACTTCAATTGCGCATTCCCACTGTTGGTTACCTGCGTTTGTTCTCCCAATTCCCAATTCTAAGTATTTATACTTAATAAGCAGGCATCTGTGAATGCAATCAATTTTGAGTGATAACCGATCAGGTAAATAAAGCCAGAATGTTTTATGAGAGAGTTTCCTCTGTAGTTTTAAAAGAGTAATATGAATTTACATCTAGCTCAAATTTTTATCTCTTCTTTATAAATTCAGTAAGAGATGTTTGGTAAGGTATTTCTGACAGTTTTTTTTTTTTAGTGGGTACTACTGTTTATACATCCTCAGTCCTAAATAATCGTTAGTTTAAAGTGAAGTGAAGTGACTGAAATTTAGAAAATTATATATATATTTTATAAATGATTTTAAAATAAATGTATGTCACCTCAGCCCTTATGAAAGAAAATGAAGGCTGAGATATGGCTTGGCATATTTTTTGTACATCTAAGGTTATGTTGGTTAAATGTTCAACTGTCATGATCACCCTAAGTTTCTAGTTTATTTCACAAGAGGTTTGTTGCACCAGGTTCTTACTAATTTATCACTTAAAGCATAATGCTATTTTCAGACACACGCTGCAAAAGCAGGGGAAGCTGCTAGTTTACATGCAAAGTCTAAGGTTGGCGTCCATCAAAGCGCAGCAAAAGCTCCCGCAGCACGTTTTGGGCAGCAGGAGCAGCATGTCTGAGCAGCCAGAGCAACGCCTCATAAGGTTCTGAGCATCTAACGCACTGCAGAAGCAGCAGCTGCTGTAGTTGGAAAAATTTAAGATTTGCTGACGGACGCGCCACAAAAACCAATCAGAGAAACTGATCTGGGAGCTGGAAGGGAGACAGACACAGCACTGCTGATGCAGATCACTATGATCACTCCTCTGAAACACTTTATTAATGGCTAAATTTACTTAAAATGTCAAAACCTGCCAGCAAAATATGTTTGACTTTCTTATTCTGGTGCCTGCAGTTTGGATTATGTTTACAAAAAACGCCTTCCAGCCACCGCAAACAGTAGCGGAAAGCTGCGAAGAGGCGACCGGGCCAGAGGCTGCCGTTGAACAGGATTCCCAGTGACAGCGCACCACCGGTGAATGGGGGTCTGAGCGGCTCTGACAGCAAAATAATATGAAATGACTGCACAGATGAAGTTTTCAGCTGGACTTTCTCACTTAAAAACCTATTAAAACTACTTTTTACTCACTTATAACAGCTGAATACAGGAACAGACAAACCATCAGACATGTCTGGCCACACTATACTTGACGTCTGACCTTAATGTGGACAACCATCAAAAATAAAGCAGCAAAAGCTTTTTTTTCTGCTTCCGTTGCTTGCTGTCTGAACGCAGCATTATTCATTAAAATAAGCCAAGCGACACTCTCGATTTCATCCGCCATTACAGGCAAAGAAAGGATATGGTTGCTCCACCTTACGCGCATTAGACCCGCTTTTTGACCGCACAGCTAGAGCAGCAAAGATGCTTCAGCCGCGCATCAGAACTAAACTTGTACAGGCATCAAAAAGAAGTAGCACACACCTTTTTGCTGCTTCTGCTGTGTGCTTTCTGAACGTAGCGTAATAATGTGTCTGGTTCCAATATCTGGTTCACTATTTGCTCTGGCATAACTCTCACCTGATGTTTGACAATCTTATCTAAAGATTGCATTGGGAGTCCCTTACTTGTACAGTGGCAGACTATTGTGACACTATGTTAAAAGGAAAACCAGCAATGCCCTGCTTGATCATCAGTACTTCTGGCAAATAATTCATTTTAACAAACTTGAAAACAGACTTTAGTTCTTATCAATTTTATATATATATATATATATATATATATATATATATATATATATCAAACTAATGATCTAGATAAGTTCAAATTTGTCTCCAAATATTCTACTCAAATCCTAGTTATAATACAATACACTCACATTAAGAGTCTATGGCCAATGACTAAAAGTAAAACACAATTGGTTCAGTGGACTTGGTTCAATGAATACACTATAAAACAAGCATGTAGTTTGGGGTTTTGTGCTAACCAAAGTTCCAGCTATAGAATGAGCTATGAGAGGGAATGATGAGTCCCAGAAGCAGCTACTGCCTTCCTGGCTGGACAGCAGCTTCATACAACTGGGCCAAAATAAACATCTGTCCCACAGTCTCCTCTGCTGACATGAAGTGAATGTGGACAAGCAGGCTGGGATTCACTGTTCATCTGTGTCTATGTGCCTTGGTTCCCTTCTGCAAAACCATTTGGGACTATTCAAACCCGCAAGTTTCTGAATTACATCTTTATCTCCCGCTTTCCCCCTTTTACATGTAAGTCCTCCCCAAAGCAGTCATATCTAAAAAACCACAGGCTCCAATGCCGGGGTTGCCTTCAGTTAAAAACCAACGGCAAGGTCCATCATTCTGCCACTCACTGAATTCTATACGCAGACAAAAGGAACAGTTATGCAACAAAACGTAACAGCATAATGGAGGAATGTGATTTGATTGAAGGTGAAGCAAAGCACAGCAGGTTTACTTGTATGGCACAATTCAGAATGAAGACTACTCACTTCAGAATCATGCTTATAAGCTCTATTTTTTTTTGTTCTAGTGAGAAAATGAGCAGCAGCGTTTTGGATCAGCCTCAGCTGTGTTATGGACTCTTTAGTTAAACCTATAAAGACACTTTTGCAGCAATCAATTCTAATAAAGATAAAGGCATGAATGAGCTTTTCTAGATCCTACTTGTACATTAGTCCTTTATTCCTGAAGATGTTCTTCAGGTGATAAAAGGCTGACTCAGCAACTGTCAGTTACTATGACTAAAAGTCCACAGGGACCACTAAACCCTTAGAGTAAGCTAAGGTTCTCTAAGTAAACAGAATTATTG